ACCATGAGAACGATCAGTGAGTTAAGAATTAAAAAACTGCAAGGGCGCGTGCATGCGTGTGCACACACACTCACACACACACACACACATTCTATCTTGAGTCAGGCCATGGTCCAGTGAGCCCACGTGTACTTCTGACTTTCACTTCCCATACCCCCAGACTCCTCGAGGACAGGGACCCTACCTAGATCTTCTTAATGAGTTCATGAAAGCTGTGCCCTGTCTGTAAAGCGGGGTGACAGCGTCCCCCTGGTGGGGCTGGAAGGACAGTGAGTGACTTCATGTGAGTGGAGTGTACCGCACAGACTAAGTAGAGCCTAAGTCACGCTTAGCGCCAATGAACTTCAGGCATCTCCGTTTCTTTTAGAGGAAAAATAAAGACCTCCCTATACTCCAGCTTTTCAATTTTTGTTCATTTTTCCTTTTTTTCCTCCCCCCACAGAGGACTGCTGTATGAAATGGAACTATTACCAGTTTGGGCCTTTCAAGTTCACACTCTATCGATGGTTCCATGAAGTTGGCTGGCATTATTCTGAATCCGGTCTTTGATAGCAACCCGAAGTGCCTGAATTGTCATCATAAGACTACCAGAAAGCACTGGCAAATTACATTGTTCAGAGAACAATAAAAAATGGTTACATATCATACCCTCTTGATCATCATGACTTTGTTTCATATAAACCTCAAAGGTGGTTCCCCCAGATTAGTCTCTCTATGGGAGGAAGGAAGAGAAATGAAGAAACATTAAAAAAATTAAATGTGAAGACTAGAAGCAGCCGTAACTTGCATAAAGCACCAAATGTCTTCTTGTAGGAAAACTATGTTGAATGTATGATGAGCCAGACCCTGGCCAGGGGTGAAGCGGGCATCACGCCCCCCCCCCCCCCAGGAGGTCCTTGGTGAGCCACCTCTGGCAGCAACCTTTCCCGGCCTGCCTTGGGTAGGGATGCATCCTGGTCAGGGGTGAAGGTTATCTTTCATACTTCGGGATACTTTCACAGAGGCAGCTGCAGCCCCTGAAACTCGGCTCTAACGGTTTGTTTCCTCATTCTTAAAGTGGCATAGAATGTGAGAAACTCTACCTGAAACCAGCAGCAACTCAGTGGGAATAGACATCTAGAAAGGTCACAGAGGGGGTTAAGAAGGCTCTTTCTTCTGTGGCCATAGGGGGTTTATTGTTGCTGGTGCCCAAACTGGAAGAGGAATAGCAGGAGATTAATAATTGAAATGTTGCTATTATTGGTTTTCTAAACTATTTCATGCCTGTAAGCAGCCCCCCAAAACAGAGGGATTTAAAACATACTAACAAAATGCCTGCTACAGCCAGGCACTGTACACGTACTCAATTCTAATGGAATCCTCACACAGTCCAGTGAGGCTTAAGATGAAACAAAGCTCCAAGAGGTTAAGTAACACGCCCAAAGTCACACAGCTAGAGTCGAACCCAGGTTTCTCTGATTCCAGTACTCTACCACACTGTCCGGAATCAAGGGTAAAATTAATGAGCCTTGCTTCACTACCCAAAAGCGGTGAGAATGAAAACAATATTTATACTTACTCATTTTAAAAATATAAAACACAAACACAGGAAAAGATATTTTAGAACATGTGTCATCAAATTCTTTTAATGGAAGATGATTCAGAATCCATTTCTTGGTAGGCATTTCGGTAGGTGTCTTCAGACCCATCTGATGAGAGATTTCAGTATTAGAGTTTTGGGAAGTCTGTGTAAGCCAATACTAATTGACATGACACATCTCAGGGATGGTGGAACATAATTAACTTGGAATTCAGGGCCCTCTAATTCAGAACCCATGGCAATATAGACCTATGTCGCTGGCCTTTGCACTACATATTGAAAATAGCCTTACTAAGCAAGGTGATGGAGTAAACACAATTGCAAGGCAAATGTTTAACTTTATAAAGAAAATAAACCCTTTCAAAGAAGTTTAACTTAATCAGTACCAAGTTCCTGAAAACGAATGTGCTATTTATAAATCTAACATTAAAAGCAAGTAGCGGGAGACTGCCAACACTTTGCTACCCATTAATTTGTATTATCAAACATACCCTTTTTCAAAGACTGAATTTCTCTCTAAACCGCTGGCAGTTCAGATGCCTCACGGTTGCATTCAGGCCTTTCACCCCACAGCCTAACCTGGGGCAACTGCGCCCCACTTAAACGAATGAGTGCACGCCCGAATTCCAGCTCAAATGCCTCACCTGTCATTATACTGCTCCTGAGAAGAACCCCATGTTGGAATTTTTTTTTTTTTTTTTTTTAGCAGCTTGGAAACGATTAGAAATCTTCTTGGCAAATTCCCCAGGAAAAGCCCTGCTCCTTCAGGATACACACAGGGGGCCCATGCATTCTGACTGGGATGTGGTAAAAATCCGGCTCACTGAATCCAGTGGATATCGCCAAGAAGGGAAAAAGGAGGTCACCGGAGTCTTAGAAGCACTCATCAAGCTAAGTGAATGTAGGTTCCAGGAGTACAATCCTTTATGGAGGTCACCTGTCTGTTTTAGAGCATGACCAACAGGCTCCTTCAAAAAGACCTAGGCCTGAGCTTGTGCCCAGTGAGGCTGGGGAGAGGAGGGGGGGTGCTCGGGAAAGAAGGATAAAGAGGCCCAGAAACTCCAGCAGAGGCAAAGGGTACAAAGTGTAGGGACAGTTAAGACAGCGCACAGACAAGACTGAGAGAAACTCAGGGTGGAAAGAGGTGACCAGGTAGGTCAGCTGGAACAGGGAGTGAAGCCTGCAAATAAAAATAAGTGAGCTCCTGAGACCTTTGAGATCCACGATTATGCTTAAACCTTAACATCTTACACACCCACAATTCTTTATCTGTTGTAATGCACTAAAAGAACACTGAAGTCAGAACGAGAGTGCCAACCAAGTCTTAGCCTCGAGGGTATGGCTACCTTCCGTATAGATTCAGAACGAAAGGAATGGGAGGTGAGCAGCACAGTTCCCGAGACAGGCTTTCCACAAAGTTGACAAAACACATCCCAAACCCACGGACCCAGCCCTTGCAAAAGAGAAAGCAGCCGTCTACTATAGTTCTGAATTCAATGCCAAGTTCCCTCCCTAATGCACACCCGGAGTGTCCAGCAGAGGGAGTCTCAAGGAGGTACTTAATAAAGAGAAAATTGTTTCATTTTAACACTCCATAGACAGTGGGAGCATTGACTGTAGCCCCCTCCCATAGACACAGACGAACAATGAGTGCCCGACATGGGTTCTCCTAGCAGGTTCACAGAGCCACCGGCTCGTTCCATTCTGCGTGGTGGAGTGATCAGAAATTGCGTTTTGTTTTGTCGAATGGTTAAATGGACCTTGTGTTCTTCAGAATCAAAGAGGAAAGCCCCTGGAATAACATCGCTCTGTTGCCTTCTAAACAGCCCCTTTGTTTCTAAGAGAGTCTGAAAAAAAATATTTACAGTCCATAGGTTATTTACAGCCTCATTATCCAGGGCCTGACTGGTAACTTTATTCCATCCAGAAACCAAATTCATTTGGAGCCCTGGAACTAATAACAGATTTTCTTTTCAGATAAGTTTTTTTTTTTTTTAATCTGCCTCTTGTAACAGAGATAAAAGTATTAATGCGTTCCCTGTCTCACTCGCCAGCACTGTTCTCGGGATTTATAGAAGGATTAAACCCTCCTCTCCCCGCCCCTCCCTCTCTACTCCACACAAACCCTTTCCCCTCTCTCATTTGCTGTTTCGTCCACAGAATATCTGAACAAAACCGAAAGAAAAGCCAGATGGACCGACGCTAAAAAGTATGTAAAGCCTGCTCTTTCAATGATTTCATAAGAAAAACATTTTCACGATGAAATGACTGAAAAACTCGGGCACCCTTTGGTTTAAGATTCCTCCTACTACAAGCACACAAAAACACAGCGAAGTGTGTAAAAAAAAAAAAAAAACTTAGTTGATTCTGGTTTGATTTCTGGCTGGAAGCTGACAAGAACTGACTGAAGAGAAACGAAAGAGAGAGAGAGAGAGAGAAAGAGAGAGAGAGAAAGGAGGGCAAGGGGAAGTGTATATAGGGCTTTTGCCCTCCCTTCTTTTTCTTTCTTCCTAAAGACAGATCCGAAAAATGACCCCAGGCCAGGTGAAGGTGCCACACTCAGGTCCTGCCCAGGCCGACCGAGGGGAACCTCTCGGCCGCCCCCCCCCCGCGCCCTCCCTCCCCCCCCAACCCCGACCCGAAAACCTAAACTACATTTTCCCTTACACACGCTAATGCGGGGAGATTTTAGCCAATTTCATTGTTCTGCCTGTGGGTCTAAGATGGACTTTTCCCTCAGTACCCTCCTCTCATCACCTAGCCCCATACATTCCGATTCCATAGACACCCCCCCCCCAAATAAATAAATAAATAAATAAATAAATAAATAAATAAAAATAAATAAAAATCAGAGGCTCGCGGAGAATAAAGGAGTGTGGGGAGGGACCGGAGGGGAGCCGGGGGCAGGGTAGAAGGATCACCCTAAAGGTGAATTTTCGGGGGGGGGGGCGGAGGAGGGGAGGAGGGGGAGCAGGAGGAGAGCTAAACCGCATCACCTTTATTTATGCCAAATCAATGAAAAGCGCCGTCACGGGTCTGTGCCCCCCCAGGCGCCCCCTCCCAGGCTCTTTTCTTCGGGCAGTAGCCCACCCTCGCGCCCCCCACCCCTGCACCCACCGCCGCCTCTCCCCTCCACCCTGGAAATAAGATCCTGCCGGATTCCGGCTCGCGGCCGCGCCGTGGGCAGCGGCGGGGGCGGCGGGGGCGGCGGGAGGGGAGGGGAGGGAGGGGAGGGGAGGGGAGGGGAGGGGAGGGGAGGGGCGGGGGCCGGCGCCGCGGCCGGGGGCAGCCCGGGGAGGGGCGCCGGGGGGCTGCGGGCCGGGGGCTGCCCGGCGAGGGGCCGCGGGCAGAACAAAGCTGCGGGGGCCGCGGCGGCGGGCGGCGCTGGGCGAGCGGGGCCGGCGGCCCGGGCGCCCCTTACCTTCGTACACGGGGGCCATCGGGGCCGGGGTGTCCGCGATTCATGGCAACGGAGAAGGGAACGCGGCGCGCGAGCTCGGCCCCCCCAGCCTCAGTCGGAATCTGCCATCTTGAGCCTGTGTCTCCGCTCTCGGCGCAGCCGGGGCCGCCAGCGCCCGCATCACCGCCTCACTTGGCCGGCGCCGGGGGAGGGGGCCGGGCGCCGCCGCCGCCGCCGCCGCCGCCGCCGCCGCCGCCGCCGCCGCGGTCGGGCCCTGCGCGGGGGCTCCGGGCGGCCGGGCGGGCGCAGCGGCCGAGGCCGAGGGGCCGGGCGGCCGCGGCCCCCGAGCGGGTCCGCGGGGGGGGCGGGAGCCGGGGCGGGCAGCGCGCGGCCAGTGCCCGGCCGGAGCTCAGCTCAGCATGGCTGTGCGCGGGGGCTTCGGCAAAAGTTGCACGGGAGGCGGAGGAGGGGCGGGCGGAGCCGGGAGGAGGGGCGGGGGCGGGGGCGGGGGCCGGGGCCGGGGGCGGGGGCGGCGGGCCGAGCGTGAGCGAGCGAGCGAGCGAGCCGCGGAGCGCGGAGTCCGCGCGCAATCGAGCGCCGATGGCACGGATGCGAGGCGGGGAAGGCCGAGCGCAGGGCAGGCGCGGGGGGGGGGGGGGGGGGCGGGGCCCGCGGGCGAGGTGCGCGCGGGGCCGTCCCGGCCGCGGACACGGGGGCGGACAGAAGTTTGTGCGCGCGGGCGGGGCGGGGCGGGGCGGGGCGCCGGGGCGGGGGCGGGGGGCGCGGCCCGCGGGCAGGGTCGGCCGCCTCGCCCGCTGCTAGGTGTGCGGTGAACCGAGGGCCGAGCGGGCGCTCGCCGCCGCCTCCGCGGAGCAGCTTTGGAGACCCCTGGAGGTCGGAGGTGCGGCGCCGCGGGGGCCGGAGCCCTGCGGGAACCTGCGCTGCCGCCGCGCTCTCGCCGCGCAGCCCCGCGCCCCGGGGCTTCAACCAGACGGACGGGCTCCTGACCCTCCTTCCTCCCCCCCCCCAGCCCGGAGCCCCCCCCCGGGTTCACCCCCCCCCCGGGTTCACCCCCCCCATGCCCTGCCGTCCCCTCCAACGTGAGAAGACTCCAGTCCACCCCCAGGCAGTGGTTTTGAAGCTGCGGGTCGCGACACATGAACTGAGCATAGAATTAGTTCAGTGGTTGGGGACCACCTTAAAAAAAAAAGAAAGAAAGAAAGAAAAAAATGTCAGGGAATAGACAATATTAGGATCCATTGTCCTCAGCGAGGGTGACTATGGTTTCAGAATCCTTTTGTTTCAGTTATATATATATATAACTGTACGGACCATGATGTAAATTGTATTTTCTACTGTGGGTCAAAGGTCAAAAAAAAAGTTTAGAATCTATACCTTGGGGGCGGTAAAGTAACCGATCACTGTAGAACTTTCTTAAAAACAAAGTCACGATTTTCTCACCACTTTATATCCTTCACAACCTCCATACCCCCGTGACGCTCCCCCCCACTCCCCGCAGCCCCCTAAAAAAAGACAAGCCCTTCTCGAAACACACCTGGTTTTGTTAGTGGCCCATAGTCGTCCCCCCCCCCCCCCCCCCCCGTGAGGGTGACCTTTGACTCTGTCATCTTCGTCGCCCCTATATCCAGGGCTACTGCTTCCTACTCCTACTCCAGCCTAATGTTAATTCACATTTGCAGAATCCTAGACCACCCCTTGCTAAAAAAGGGCCTCAGATGCCATCTGGGCCAAGCTTCCCTTTTAGAACTGAAAAAGTGAGGCCCATCGAAGCAAAGCCGATTGCCCAGTATTGCACACCATTAAATCTTAAGGTTGCATTTTTTTTTCGTGTGTGTGGCTCCCACTTTGGGGTTCTTTGCTTCGCACCATTCACTCTCCCCTTCCTTTCTATCTAACCTGCTGTCCTCAAGTGGACTCAGTCCAGTCAGCCCTAAGCACCGTCACCTCCATACACACAGTTCTGACGGTGCTAAGCTCCAAGGAGCCAGCGTCTGCTGCTGAAGTACCTAGCTTCTTGGCTTTTTTTTTTTTTTTGCTCCTTGGCTTTTAATAAATGCAGGCAGGCCCTGAATTACCATTCCCAGTACATGAGTTCAGCAAGTCACTGCCTCTCCAGGGAAACTGGTTTACCCGTGGACTTCTGCCAGCCTTGCCCATCTGAGCCTTTGCTCAAGCAGCTACTTTACCACCAAGGGTGCCTTCTCTGTCTTTTCTCTTTAACCAGATTTTCTACCTGGGCCCAACTTGGTTCCTCCGCAAAACAGCCAGAGGCAGTGTGAGATTAAGCTAGACCTGGGTTGAGAGCCCAGCTCTTCCACTTCGTAGCTGTGTGGACTTAATCAAATTGCTTAACCTCTCTGAGCTTCAGTTCCTGCATCTGCATCACAGTGAGGTAGCAATGATTACGCTGTTCTTCCCTTGTACCTGGGTCTCTCATGACCTTTGCTGTACAGGTATTATCTCTCTTCCCCTTTCCAGTGCCACCTAATAGAGTTTGCTGCAGTGATGGAAATGTAACCATTTGTGGCTGTTGAGCACATGAAACGCAACTAATGTGGCTGAGGAGCTGAATTTTTCATTTTCACAGCCACATGTGGCTGGCGGCTACCATATTGGATGGTGCAACCCTAAGCTGCGTGGTCAGCAAGGGCAGAAATCACGTTGATCTTGCTTGACATTACATCCCCGGCAATGAGTACGGGGTAGGTACTGCACAAATACCCATGGAGTGATGATAGCCACCACTTGTTGTGTGCTCATTGTGTGCACCAAGCACAACACTAAGAACACGGTATGAATTATTTTGTATGGGGCTCCCCACAGCCCCTGAGGTGGGATTAGATTGGAGATAGAGCTTGTACAGAGTATTGGCAGAGAGTAGAAGTTCAGTAAAAGGTGGTTGTTATTATATGAAAAACTCCATGTGACCTATGTAATTGATTGTTTTTCTTGTTTGTTTGTTTTTAGAGAGGAAGAGGGGGAGAGGCGGAGAGAGAGGGAAAAAGAGGATCCCAAGCAGGCTCCATGCCCAGCACAGAGCCCAGTGAGGGGCTTGATCCTTGGCGCCTGAGATCATGACCTGAGCTGAAATCAAGAGCCTGATGCTTAACCGACTGACTCACCCAGGTCCCGAATCTAACTGTTTTTTATCTCTTCTTCCAGGCTTCCAGAACAGTGCCTCTCACATACGCTGTGCTGTCATGTGGTGTACCCCACCCTAGATGTCTGACTCCCCTCTCCTGTGGAGGTCGCCTGTCTCCACAGATGAGCTGGGAGCATCTTGGGGCAAAGTCCATGGCATACTTGTTTGGATGTCCCTCATTCATATTTAGTAACTGCCTCTCACTTTATCCCAGTTGTGTCAAGCTATGAGTGATTCTAGGCAGTAGTACTCCTTGGAATATCCCCTGTCTTCCCAAAATTCATATGTTGAAGTCCTAACCCCTGGTTGCTCAGAATTTGACTGTATTTAGAGAGAGGGTCTTGAAAGAGGTAATGCAGTTAAAATGAGATCATTCGAGTAGGCCCTAATCCAATATTGCAGACATGTAGAGGGAAGACCATGTGAGACACGGGGAGAAGGCAGCCATCAGGAAGCCGAGGGCAGAGGCCTTCAAAGAAACCAATCCCACTGACACTTCAATCTCAGACATCTATCCTCCAGGATTGCAAGAAAAATAAATTTTGGTTGTTAAAGGCACACGGTCTGTGGTACTTTGGTATGACAGCCCTAGGAAACTAAGATACCCTCACGGAAGGTGAACTAAAATGAAGAAAGGTCACTTGTGTCACCTGAAAACATCTTTAAGGTGGTCTCCTTCCCCATGTGCCCACCTTGGGCATGGAAAGTGAGTCCTATGAAAGGAAAACAAGCTGGAGCCAGACAGGTAAGCCCACCTTCTCTTCAGACCACTAGGACTAAACCGGTACCTATGTGATGCCCAACTGCAGCAAAGAACATTCAATTGAGCTAGCACACTTGGTGTCATGTAGGTGGGGAAGTATTATTTAAATGAATTCAGATTGTTTTTTTCTCATGAATTGGCAGATTGATACGCCTGTTTGTCTCCCTTCCCTCCTGTGACTACAGTCATGTGGAAGCAGGATATAAACCTAACTGTGAACTGCCACGGAAGGAGAGCATGAGAGCGGGAAGGGGACAGAATCTGAGACACAGGCCCAGGGAGCACCAGTACTTGAAGTAAGGGAAGAGGAAGAAGAACTCCCTGTTGGAGGAGAGGACAGGGAAGGAGAAGGACAACCTGAAGAGAATGGTACCTTGACATCGTAGGGCAGTGACCCCTGCAAGGGGAGCTGTGGTCAGCAGTGCTGTGTGCTCATGAGAGGTCACATGAGACACAAGTGGGGAGGCATCCACTGGATTTAGCAACAAGGTGACTCTGGGGAGACTACTTATGGGGGAAATGTAGGGTTCTTAAATTTAGCCTGAAATAGAACGTGCAGGGTTTATGATAGGAGATGAGAGGATGAAGAGGGTTGAGAAGACTCCAGAAGAGGAGGGTTGTCAAGACTCCAGAAGAGGGCACTAGAGAGTATTCTGGGTAGAGACAGTGCAACCAAAGAAGTCACAGGGTGAGACAAGGAGCTGGCTCCAGGGGCCATCTCATTTGGCTAGGTTAGTGTGCACCATGTTACACTTACTTAATAAACACATTTGCACTTAGTGTCCTAACAAGTTTGCAAATATTCACCCATTTAATAAATCCTTTTAAAAATTTTTTTGCACTACGTGGGACTCTAGGTTGCCATAAGACCATGTAACTTCAGTGTCTTTTGAGAAATATAATCAACACAGGAGAACTGGAGAGGATTTAGTAGCCATCTGTGTCAGTTACCTCGTCTCAATTTGTCTCAGTTACCTCTTCTCAATTTTCTTTCTACAAATGGTATGAGTAATAGCTTTCTCAGGAGTGACCAAACGTGGGGGAGTTTTGACCTGGTTTCAAATTCATTTTGCTTATAGGGCAAATGAGAAACCACCTTTTCTTATTTATGTCTATAGTTGTGAAAATGCACAACATCCCAATATCTCCAAGACCACAAGACGGAGATATTTGTTTGGGGGGTATCTATATTCAGGCGTTCGTGTCTTGCTGTCACTATGGGTGTTTGTAGTGATATCTGTGCAGGTTATATCTTATCCGGACCTGGTGAGCAATGCTCTCATTTTCCTGCTTGGTCCTTCTTTCTGTA